TGAATGACAATGTAAATTATGGTTATTTGGTGCTTTTGGTTGTGTGTGGTTGTTTGCTGTTGACACGATTGTACTTCTGCAATCAAGTCTTATTTTGACGGGTTCAATATCTGGTCCAGTTCGGACAACGGATCAGTGAATTTATGAATTATGTATGCATGTATATATGCAAAGGTTGAGAGATGGGAGAAGGCAGGAGGAAAGCAGTGTGAGTGACCAATGGGAAATAGAAGTGGACTGAAAGTAACAAGGTGTAAGCAATGTGGTGGGGGATGAAAAGAGGAACCAGCTATGAAAAGAGCTGCAGTGAAAACTGATAAGGGAAGAAGCTGTTGCAGAAAAACTAATGAAGAAGGAAGTAGTGTAACATAACCTCTTCATTCCATGAGGTAAAACAATCATGGCCTTATGTATGTAGTCTCAGTACTGGAAAGCTGGAAGGAAATAATAATGAATGATTTTTATGAAGTCACAAATCCAGATAACTTCATCCTGTTGGGACTGGCCTTGTGATCTCCATTCCATATGAAGAATGGTACCATTCTTCAAAGAGCATCACGGTTAATCAAGGCATTTGATAACATATCTAAATACCTGGTAGTACCCTTGGTTCTTAAGTTTGAATTGGACTACAGAAATAATGCATGGGCTTACAAAAGAATCAGAAGTTCACTGAACTTGCAGGGAATGTTCAGACAGTACCTAGTATGTTTCAAGGTTGACAAGAGGTGACCCATTTGCATAAAATACACCACAACCGGATCACATTATCATCTCTGATTCAGTTGTAGGTTTTTGATCGTCCTTAGATGCAGTGGGTGCCTAAATACAAGCATATATTGATCATGTTATACATTTACTTCACCTGAATTAGTTTGAACCCAAGAAAATGGGATCAGGATATAGATAACAAATTTAATAAACAATAATTGAACAAATACTAGACCTAGACACACCTGAAGACCGTACCAGCTTTAAATACATAACATAACAATCAAGGAAGAGATCATGGTTTGTGGTCAGTGTCACAGCATTACAGCAAATTAGAAAAGCAAGTTAGATCCAAGAATGAATTTTGCTAAGGGTAAACTTATGCTGCACTGATCAAACCCTTAGCAAAACTAAAAAGAAGAGACGCTTAACACAAGACTTGCAAGGTAACCAGTTTCACTCCCATAAGCAGCAAGCAACATAAAAAATAAGCATGACATGTAACACTCAGATACAAAATATATCAGATAATGTAATTGTTCATGATTACTACACGAAGGTTGTGGTATCTTTAAATGTAGTCTCCTTACACACAAGCTGATACTTTGGATCAGTAACCTTTACATAGGCCAGTGATCTTGCTCATTTCATTTCCTTTGACACAAGTGTGTTTCAGGGGTTTTGATAACATATCACAGGATCTTGTGAACACAGTAATGAAACCATGGGTTCTCTGAAGGCAGGAATCTCTTGAGTAGCTGAGTGACAAAATTTTCAAAAAGAACTGCTTAATGCTAATTAATGGTGAAATTTATACTTTGATGACATCTCTGTCCATTTGTTTCTTCACACAGTTATTCAAACAGTTCATTGCAAAGTTCATACCTATAAGCCTACAGCAATGCCAGGAATGCCTTCAGATAACTTTAAATTAGGAAGAACACTCAGTCATCCCTGTCCCCTCCAGCCAGAATGTCAGAATCCTCTGCTTTGTGATTGGTATCATGATATCTTTGCATAGATTCACTCCAAGATTTGACCAGCTGTGGAGGCCTTTTTCTGTCTTGTTTTTGTCTTCATTGTATCACTATACCAATTGAGTAATCACTAGAATATGAGCTATGGAGTTCTCATAGTAGTGAATGTTGAAATCATGGCGTTCTAAGATTTTATGACATAGACTGATATCTCATTTGTCCTGAAGGTGGAAGCAGCTGGTTCCTCTCAAACATTGGTACCCATGTACCAAATTAGATGGTGTCACAACTGATAAGATTGTAATATTAATCACTAGAATTGCCACCACTCCCACAAGGACCTTTTGGCCTGTCCATTACTTTCCAATGTGAAAACTGATGAGTCTCAAACTCACACATGACATGAAGAGTACTGTTTTCTGGAATATAATGCTGTGTAGTCCATTGAAAGTCAACCGACATTTCTGAGGAACATATTGCCTCCATATTCAGGGTCAAATAAGCCAAGCAAGATACCAATGTGAAAGCAGGTGGCAAGCAGAGTGAAGCCAGAAATTTCAGATTATATAGGAAGCAGGAGGGAAATTTAAGATTGAACCACAGTTCACATTGGCTAGTCCATGGGAGAGATTGAAACTACTGTGCTCCCACATGACCACCAAGCAGACAAGAGTAGGAGTTTAGGATGGTCCTGAAAAGGGATGGTTTGGCTCGTCTAGGAAGAAGTCAAAGGAAAAGTGTAGGAGTGTGTTGGGCGTTGAACTGATGTGAAAGGCAGGGATGTCAAGTGGGTGAGCCACAGGCATGTGGTGGGAGAGCAGAGGCAGCAGAAGGAAGCTAGGGCATCCAGGTGGAGGCTGGTAAGTGCCCAGAGAGGGCCTATTGTGTGCCCTGATAAGGACAGTGTGCATGGACCTGCGTGACCCTCCAGAGAATCCAGATCTGCTGTCGTGATGGAGGCTTCCTGTGATCTCTCGGGGAGCAGATGAGAGGTTTCCATGACTTGCTCAGATAGAAGGTATCCTCTCTGTCCTCTGTTGGGATGGAGCTCAGTCTCATTCACTTCCCTGCTGATGTGATCCATGTATCTAGACTTGGTGGAGAGGGTGGTGGTGTGGTGTAGTGGTGTGGCTCAGTGCGGGGCCTCAACATTGATACTGTACTCCAGCACAGCTGACTTGTCCCGATGTTCTAGACTGATATGTCACTGGTGCCACTTCAACCTGGTGTCACTCGAACAGCCCATCTGCCAAATGTACCCCTGACAATACTCACAGGGGATGCTGTATACTGCCAGGATCTTCAGTCCCAGGTTGTCCTTGACTGACTGAAGGAATCTATATATTTTCCTAGGAGGGAGGTCCATGGTCTTGATTATGTGCCGAGACAGCACCATGCTGATGCAGTTGAATATTGGCCCAACATTAAGCAGGAAAGCAACTGAATCTAGCTTTTCATCATGCTGCATAACCCTCAGGGGAGGGTTGAGGGCCCTATGAATCCGCTGATTGGTTTAGATGTTTTGCCTGAAAATTTCCCACAGGAACACCAACTCTGCATGAAGAGATGCTTATTGGATGGGTGATGATGAAGCTACAATTTAAGTAGAGGTTGGTATGGGTAGGTTTATGGTATACTTTATGGCTCAGAGAGTCATTGGGTCTCCTATAAATATCTGTGTCAAGTAAGGGAAGGTGACTATCTCTATGATGACCTGAATGTTCTAGTGGACAATGTTCGGGGTGGCCAAGGAAGTCCTTCAGCCTCTCGGGTCCATGTGGCCAGATGACAAACATGTCGACCATGTAACAAAATAAGCAGAGGGGTTTATGGGCAGCCTGGTCAAGCACCATCTCCTCAAAGTCCATGAAGAAGTTGGCAATGGCCAGAGACAGTGGTGAACCCACAGTCATGCTGCCAATTTGTTCATAGAACTGAACTATGAGGCTGTCAAGAGGTGATAAAAAGAGTCTCAGGATATGCTCCTCAAAATGTCAACTTAGCAGACTAATCGGCATCCTGATGAAGAGTGACACCACATCGAAGCTGACCATTGTACCTTTGGGCCCAGTGTCTAGAGAACCCAATGTTTGGGCAAAATTTTTAAAGTTCTTTATGTGATGTGGAGAGTTGCCAGTATGACAGACCAGTAGGCCTGGAAGATGTTTGGCCAAGTGATAAGAAAGGACCCCAGTGGTGCTCATATTGTGCCTCAAGGGAACCCCTTGCTTGTGGCTCTTCAGCAATCCATACAGTCTCATGGGCCTGGAACCTTGTGGCCAAAGTTGTTGGCAAACTTCCTAAGAAATAGAGGATTTACTCAAGAGAGGCATGGTCCTCTGTAAGATAAGATCTTATATGTGACATTTTCAGAGACAAAAGAATGATGATATACCATGATAAAAATTAAATCAAAATACTAGTAACATTACTGTACACAGCAGTTGTGTATGTTGTTACTATTGTCATCAATTTTGGATAATGTGCAATTTTTCAGTGTGTCTGTGTTTTTTACATCAATCCCTTGAAGTATGCCCCAAACATCTGATTACATGTGGCCATGAACAGTATTTACGTTTGTAACACCATCAAGAAATTTACTGTATAACTCCCTAAGTTCTTCCAAATAAGAACTGTTGTTGATTTACATGTCTTGTCATATGATGTCACATGGCAAATGTTTAAAAAGTATCTCTGACAAAGATAGAAAGTACGTAGTTTATTCCGCCAGTTTATTTATGAGAAAACGGGTTAATTGTTACAATCGATTTTTTTAAGTTTAAATAATAGTGCAAGGCAAGTTTGGACAAAGAATACAGTATGGAATTACACGTGGCTTATATCCGTTCATAATTGATATGTTCAGTGCCTGTGCGTTTTAGAGGGAAAATGGCGGAAAAGAGAATAGAGTAGAATTCACATGCCACAGATCCATAGATACTTCGTAGAACTGGGCAAAGGTCGTAGTACACATGCCAGGGAAACAGATGTGAATAAATATTTAATACCAGCATAAATGTAAATGTCTAGTTTTTATTTGTAAGCACCTAATAATATTGTACAGCGAAAAGATAAATGTATAAATATTATTTTTTATTAACATATACTTCGCTTTTAAACTTTTCTCATAGGATGAAATTTGTGGAATTACCCGTGTGTCCATCAGTAAGTATCCATTGGTTTTTTGATTGTTTTCCGATATCACTTTCGGCCACTTTTTAGACGGAAAATGGGAGGTAACAAAGAGCATAGATGAGGAAATAGATATATAGGGTCTAGTATTAAACTGTGCTTCACATACAGATTCGCGGGTAAATCTCGTTTTCCCATTGGTTGAATGCCGGAAATGTAAATTATAATCGGGATATCAGTAGCGGTTAGGAGCGTTAGGAGAATATAATAATACAACTTTGTGCAGGATCTTGGTAATATTATGGAAAACGAATAATGTTGTGAAAACTTTGTAATAAATAATAGACACCAATGCCCCAGAATTCAAAAAGGGCAAGTTCTATGGAGTGTGAATCAGCAGACACGTCACAGGAATCTAAGAAACGGAAAACGAGGTGATGTTCTTTGTAGTTTTATTTAGTGGATATTGAGCTTTATGCATCGTAACCAATTCTTACAATATTAATCTCGTTTATAGTGACGACATGGATGACGCCAACGACATGGAGAATGATGGAGTATCTGGTAAGTGTTTTTCAATGCTAGTCGTTAGTTTCTTTGGATTCAGTCCCTACTCATTGTTACATAACCTAAAACAATGTATAAATGATTACACAGTGTACCATACAAGTAACCACATTATTACGTGTAAAAAGTTTCTACGGCTCTGATGTGCCATACTGCACATTCTTTGCGTTGCTAGATACACTTCAAGAGTTAGCCTTTGTCACAGCTATTGCTGAGATTTAAAAAATAGCATTATGTTACACTGCATGTGACAACTGGGCCTTGCGTTACTTCATATCAACATAGCAGGTATCATAATTGTCCATCCATACTTCATTATTAAAAATTACTGTAAAAGACATAGTCTGTATGTAAAATCTCCATGTTTGATAGATCATATTAAAATGACTAATAACAATACAGATTTTGAGGTGATTCTGGATGGTTTAGATGGTATTACAACAAATTCGAGGCTGATGTTTTTTTCTAGGCTAAGGTAACAACCAGTAAGAAGAAGAAAAATGAACAGAGGGTTAAGTATTGAGGCAGAGGCCGACCATCATTTGTGGCAGTTGAAGTGAGATTTATGGTTTTTAAGCAGAAAACAGTAATCAGTTTTAGGCTTCTGTCTTTATGTTACAGAAGAGGCACCAAGTCCTATAATTGTTTTTAGTAATTTTTCCTAAGGTCTTACACTTTTGTTTTCATCCTGCCAGTTATGTTAACACGACCCCATCACTGATCCCAGGCAGGAGGTTGAACAGACTTTTTTGGGGATCTAAGATTGAGATTGATTGGCAGACAGGCTGAATTTTGTGCCACTTATTTTTTGTTTGTTTAGCTTCTTGCATCACCAGAAATACATACTTATGTTAGAGGAGCAGTTTTAGGGAGCTGCTTCCTATCATTCCTTATTAATTTTATCCTATATTAATATATTTATAATTTATTTAATGCTGCTATCAGTAGCTCAGGTTATATAGTGTTGGATGGTAGGGTGGATAGTGAATAATGATTTAGAGAGGATTTACTGGAGGTGACAGGGCCTAATTTGAAGCATCCACTGACAAGAATTGAGGAAAATCACAGCAAATTTCAGAATAGTGTGTCTTGGCCAAAATTTTAACCAGGAATCTTCTGAAAACAAGTCAGAAGAATTAATATTTGAGCCAATTACCATGGTATATAGTAATATAATGTTGACTTCTTTGGTGGTCCTCCAAGATTAGTAATAGTAGTCATTACTTTATATTTTTTTTAGGGTGGAAGGTATTTTATTTAGAGAAAAAAGAACTAAACATTTAGTCCATAGACCCAGAGACCTGTGAATGAGATTTTACTTATCATGATTGTGAAAATTCCTCCAGGTTGGGAGTTGGGCATGTGGCTAACAACCTCACACCATAAAAACTAAATTATTCACAGACCAGATAATCAGCCTCGGATGGATGAAATGAATGGAAGATCAGTGAAGGAAAATAAGTGGGCCACTACCTCTTCCATCCACATTCTTCTCCATCTTCATTCTACCATTTGATGCTTCATCATCTGAACAACTGAGGAACAGAGAGAAATGGAGGCTGATTGTTCAGGAGGCCAAAGCTCACCCTGAGCTGTAGTGCCAAGGGGAAAGAAGGACTGTGAAAATTAAGATGATGATCTGGGTTATGTGTGGCATCCTCTATCTGCAAAAGTTGGCACTAACTTCGCTGACAAGCAGCGGTCACTTGTTTGGTATAGTTCGCTTTTGGACTAAAGGCCATGGATGATCTCTGTTATGATAATTGTGTAGTTTTATAGGTGGGAGTATTTTGAAGGTGAAGGCAGCTGATATCTCCAAGCCATTGGTAATCACCAGAAGAACTACACAGTATCATAGGATAACTCAGAAGATTGCACTCTTAAATTCCTGAATATCTGTGGAAACAAGTGGTATTAATTATTTATATTGTGGGAATGTGGAACAGTTGTATGAAAATAAATACAGATGAAAAGCTTATGGCAAATTTAGATTAGTTCTGCTGTGGATGAGTTGATGTTAATTGACTGCTTCTGAATTCAGATCCTTGCTATACAACTGGGTACATACTATTGTCTTGGAAAGAAGAGGGTGTCTGCTTATCTGGGGTGCAGTGTGAAAGATCAGGTCTTTCATGATATTGAATGCTAACTAACTGACTTCATGGAGCTGAGCCCTTCTTGAGAAGCTGCTAGTTAGTTGTGCAGCTATACTAGGAAGAACTTCCCAGCATTTTATGGAACCATAAGGTTCATTACCGTGTTCACAAGAACCCCTGCTGGTCCCTGTCCTGAGCTAGATCAATCCAATCCATACCACCCAATCCTATCTCTCTAAGATCTGTTTTAGTATTGTTCACCCACCTACATCTTGGTCTTCCCAGTGGTCTCTTTCCTTCTGGCTTTCCCACCAATATCCTATATGCATTCCTCTTCTCCATTCATGCTACATGTCATGCCTATTGCACCCTCCTTGACTTGGTCATTGTAATTATACTTGGCGAAGGATGCAAGTTATGAAGCTCCTCATTATGCAGTTTTCTCCATCCTCCTGTCACTTCGTCTCTCTTCAGTCCAATTATTCTCAGCACCCTGTTTTCAAACACCCTTGGCCTGTGTTCCTCTATTAATGTCAGAGACCAAGTTTCACACCCATACAGAACCACAGGAAAAATTGTAGTTTTGTATATTCTAATTTTTACGGTTTTAGACATAAGACAAAAGGTTCTGGGCTGAATGGTAGCAAGCATTACCAGAATTGGGTCTCCTCTTTGAATCAAATTTTGATTTGTTACTGTTGGTTCCTAGTTTCATGGATAGCCTGAGAATATTGTACAATACTTCCCTCCTAACTGAGTCATAGGCTTTCTTGAAATCCATGAATAGCTAATGTACTGCCTCATTGTACTGTCATTTTTTTCCCAGTATCTGGCGAATGAAAAAGAATCTGATCAGTAGTTGATCTGTTACATTGAAACCCACACTGATGATCTCCAATAATTTTGTCTATATATGGGCTTAACCTCGAGAGAAGGATATTGGATACAATTTGTATGAAGTTGATAACAGTGATATTCCACAATAATTACTACGGTCAGTTTTATCGCCTTTCTTGTAAATTGATACAAGAATTGACTTCTTTCATTGATCAGGCAAGTCTTCCATATTCGAAATAGAATTAATGAGTGTGGATATCGGTCCATAACGTTTCACCTCATGCTTGAATAATTTCTGCTGGAATTTAATCACTGCCTGGTGATACCCTTTCAACTTGCAAAATCAATATCAGGTACTCACAGCTCAGCTGTCTGTATTCCTATCTGCCTAACAGCACTGACCCTATGTACATTCAGTAACTGAGAGAAGTAGTTCTTCCGCCTATTCAAAATGTTGTGGGACTATGCAAGCAGATCATTATTCTTGTTCTTCACTATGTTACTTCTAGGTTGGTAAACCCTTGGACACAGGTCTTGAATATTCTTGTTCTTACTGTTCATTGCAACCTCATTAACTTTATCTTTCAGATATTCCCTTGTTTTATTCCTGAGATGGCTGCTGACTTCACATCTTATATTGTTCAGATTATTCCCATTTATTTTATTTGGATCCTGCAGTCACTGCAGTTGGGCATGTTTTGAGCATACTTCACCAAACCATGGCTTATGCCTCTTCAATTCATAATAACCTGAACACTTTTTGGCTGAAATTTTGATATTCTCCCTAATAGTTTCCTGTGCTTAATTAATATCCACCTCAGTGTCTAAGTGGGGGTTGCGGTAGCATAGTTGGTTGAGGCACTATGCTACAAGCCAGAAGGTCCCGGGTTCAAGTCCCAATGAGGCCATTGGATGTTATCACTTGACCTAATCCTTCCAGCTGCAGTATGGCCCTGGCGTCGACTCAGCCTCTAACAGAAATGAGTACCGGGAATTAAATAATTTTCCTGGGGACTAAAGCGTGGCTGGCGCGTAAGACTGACAACCTTACCACTATCTTTGAGCCAATTGTCTAGATAATGTGGGACTCACAACGTCAACCCTATGGGCCTTCACAGCCTGTTACAGGGATGGCTATACTTTTTTTACTCATTGTCTTTAAGTTTTCCGAAGCTGCGAACCTATTTGAGATTTGAACATGATATTGCTCTTTGCCCTCTGCCTCATTTAATTTCTTGAGATTGAAGCTCTCCATATGGAAGGAGTATAAAATAAACACAAAATGAAACATAAACAGTGGAAATTATTTTATTTTGTGCAGATGAGTTATGCGACACTGGGATGGGGGAGTAAAGTCTCCACCCTATTGTAAGAATGCATAATTTGCATGCAGTATGGATGTTTCTGCACTTTAGGAGAATGCCCCTTCCCCATATAAGAACATTTGTTAGTGGATCATCCAGCAGAAATAAACAGGAAGTTTAATGGAATGGAAATAGAAAAGACCCACTGTGAGCAGTGATTTAGTAGAGATTTTTTGTGAGTGGTAGCATACTTCATAAAAACATCCATATATATGAGTACATTTGTTCAAGAATTTGTTTTAAAAAGACAGCATTTCACATACTGCCAGAGAATTTGTTTAATTTCTTGGATTACAAATTCTGGTTGTTGAATGAAAATAAACTAGAATATTATTCCAAGAGACATAGTTTTGCTGAAGATTACTCAAGATGCACAGTTTTTACAAAGAATCTTTTTCAGTGATGATGCCATTGTCTGTACCTGAGGGAATGTCTGCAGACACTATCAGAATGTGGAGTTATGACACTGTAGACAAGCATTACAGCCTGATCTAGCAGTCTGGTGGCCTGGACTGACACATGACAGAGTGTATGGGCCATTTATCTTTGTGGAATTGACCGTGATTATTAAACTTTAAGGACCGCCTCTGTGGTCTAGTGGTCAGAGTTCCTGGCTACAGATCCAGAGATCTGGTTTCGATTCCCAGTGCTAGCAGATTTTCTGAGAAGTAGTGGGTCTGGAACAGGGTCCACTCAGCCCCGTAAGCATAACTGAGGAGCTATTTCAAGGAAATAGCAGCTCTGGTCTATAAAACTGAGATTAACGACCATGGGGATTCTTTATGCTGACCATGCAACACCCTCTATCTGCCAAAGTTGGCACTAACTTCTCCGACAAGCAGCAGTCTCTCAGTCGGTATAGTTTGCTTGCAGACTAAAACCATGGAGTTTGTTTTTGTTTTGTTTATTAAACCTGAAGATGCTGGAAATTTGCATGTTACACTAAATTGGAAGCAATAATATCCTTCAGTTTAATGCAGGATTAGATCATACAGAGGTAGCCTGTGAATGAATAAATGAGCGCTTTCAAGAGCAGTGGATTGGAGGAGGGAGTTGGCGAGCTTGAACCATCTTGACCTTCAAGTGTTACTGCACTGGACTTCTACTTTTGGGGATGTGCAGTGCTTTAAAACCACAGTACATGTAATAAAACACTCTGTATTGTTACACTGATTAGCTGTGTTCTGTTACTTATGTTTATAACAGAAATTTCACTATTTGAAATGTGTTATAAATTAATGCATCCGTGATGTTATCACATATTTACGTCTTGAAACTAGTGACTCTGGATTTATGATCCCCATTATGCTACATTCACGACAGTATTGCCAGCTACACAGCCTCCAAGTTTCTATAAAGAAAATGCAGCCATTGTAAGAGTGTGTTTATGGTGTAGTAATTCTTGAATACTGCTGTTTACATAGTACAGACAAGCAGCGGCACTCACACAAGAAGACTACATTAAATAACACCTGTACAGTGTGAAAACAAGAACTAGCCGCTCCAGCACGTAGACATAGGGCGAGTAACCCTAAGAATTTTAAATTTTAAATTTAAAATTTGGAGAAAATTTTAAAAGGTTTTAAAAACATCATAACTAAAGATTTTTAGAGTGCTACTACAAGAATATCGGGTGCGACGTGTGAAACATAATCTACATACCAGACACATATCAACGATGTAGATGTTGATAATACGAAGAATGTGACATTGTGTTTTTAAATGTTAAGTTTTAGACTGGGTTCAGTGTGGCAGCGACGTTAAGAGTATACACCTGATGATGGCCGATAGAGGCCGAAACATGTAGTGTAGAAAGAACAAGATCAAAGACATATAAATATATATTGTTTGCACTTAGGACAGAGTTTGTATCATTTATCATATGGAGGTTCTAGATGTTACAGATTTTCCCATCATTTTTAACACTTTGCGGACCGGTAGCACATTATTATGACTTTAGGACACGTTATGTTGAAACACACTATAACTTGCACTGGTGCCAGGCAGACGCATGACTGCCATGTGATAGACCTCTTGAATGTTTGCTTCATAGTCAGTAACATGACCCTGCTGACCAACTGCCTTCATACAATGCAGTTGGAATCTAGCCTTCATACAAGACAGTTGGAACCAAGGCGAGACGTCACGTGATACCACAAGTGATAATAATTGTATGGTGTATAAGTGTGAGTGTCCAATAAAGAGTCGCTAAATCCGAGACCCACGTGAAGTTATTTGTCGCGTGACACACCCAACACATGACAATATGGGGGTTATAGATGTTACAGATTTTCCCATTATTTTTAAGATGCAAATGCTTAGCATTCCAGCTTTGTAGTTTGGAGATTGGGATTCAGTTTTTGACATGAGAGCTGGCTGCACTGATTAAGGTTTTCTTGTGGCTATCCTTTGTTCCTGGAGACAGATAATCAGATGAATTAAAATAATGACACATCCCAGTTCATTATTCATAATACTCTTATTTGAAAGGTTGTAACCAGTGCAGTTGAGAAAGCACCATTTAATAGAAAAGAATCAGGCCAGTTGTCTTAGAAGTTTGAAATTAGACTTCAGATACACAGAACAGTGATGGAGAGTGACTTCTTCAAAATTATTAGTCAAATCTTAGATCAGAGGGAGGTCTACTTTGCAAGCAGTCAGACAACTGCATATTAACCTTCCTGATTCGGCTAACATGATAGCTTGGCCTTCTCTCATCAAGCTATACCATACTGTGTCACTCTAATTGCACATGTGCTCTCCAATGCACAACTAAGCCTGAAGGAGCTGGCTAACAACATGTCTAATAGGCTAGAGGCTTCTCTTACGAGTATATGGAGTGCCACTGAGCCATGAAAGTAACACTTTTTGCTTTATTATTGAAAGTGTTTTGTGGCGAATGTGGTTAATATGAAAGCTCTGTCACTGATATATGTTATCATCAGGGCCTGGATTTTGATGACCTGAAAATATTTAAAAAATGACCGAAAAAATCTAGAAAAATTACTTAAAATCTGACCCAAAAATGTAATATGCAGGGCCCGGATTTTGATGACCTGAAAATATTTAAAAAATGACCGAAAAAATCTAGAAAAATTACTTAAAATCTGACCCAAAAATGTAATATGCAGGGCCCGGATTTTGATGACCTGAAAATATTCAAAAGATGACCTAAAGAATGACTGAAAAATACAGAAAAATGACCTAAAGGAGAAAAGAAAGAACACTTCGCTTCCATGTTATTCACATTTCAGAAAACATATGAAGAAAAATTCCCTAAAATGGTAAAAAATGACAAGAAATGCCCGTAAAAGTTCAAAAATTTACCAAGAAATTACCCCAAAAATGAAAAGATGACCTTAAACCTAAAAATGTAAAAAAAATGACAAAAATTACCTATAAAATTTACATTTGTGTAACCAGCAGCTCATATACGAGATTTACATATACAAGAGCATTGTATAGGATACAAGGAAAAAAAGATGATATGTCATCAGAATCTGGGCCCTGGTTATAATCATGATGGAATTATGTGAGGTTTGAGGTTCTCACAGCTGTAGGATGTGATGGCTGTATAGTTTGGAAAACAGGTAGCAACATTTTGGGGGAAGCTTGATAAATTTCTGGCATCCTACATGGTATAACATCCCAGAAGACCAATCTTAATACGGAAGTTGATTGATTGATTGATTCATTCATTCATCAATGGCTCTACAGCCCTTTATTGGGCTCTGGCCTCTTCTTCAGTTTCATAATCTTTTTTTTACACAGTCGGTAGGACTCCTTGGATGAGTGATCAGCCTGTTGCAAGGCTGCCACCTGCACACAGGACAACACAAACAGAATAAATGCACACACGAACATCAATGCCTTGAGTGCCCAGCATCTGAGCAAGCAAAGACAATTCATGCCTTAGACAACACAGCCACTATGATCACTACTGAAGTTGATATATAACGTAAATACTAAATTAAAGTGTGGACATTTTATTTTTGATATATAATACAATTAAACACAAGTTACAGCATGCCATTATAATAACACCAAATATCCTTACACTTATACTGCTCCCATTTCTATATCCAAATTACTAACAGCTCCCCCCACACTATTTGGGGGGGAGGGATACTGTTAAGTGATTGACATTACAAGTTAATGGGTTTCATGAAATTTGTTCATACTAGATAGAGATCAGTGAATGTATGAATGAATGTATGAGGCCTTCTCAGCCCTTGCACCGCGACCTACAGTGGTCTGTTGTGCAGATAGAGACCAATACAAACAAGACGTATTATCTTTCAAATTACTATCAGAATCAACCACAGAAGTGATCTATTAAGAATTTTACAAACATTTTGCATTCCTTATTTTTATTTACACCATTGAAGTTGTAATGAGCATGTTCTTCATTGCAAACTTATCTGTTAAATTTTAATAAATTGTAATATTTATTATTATTTTGGCTTGTAATATATTCAGGTGACACAAAATGGCAGCTGGAGAAGAATGATGTCAAAGCACGTCTGGAATATTTGAGGGCATCTGGTGATTTTAGTGACTGTGTCTTGATTGTGGAAAGTGGTGAGAATGTAGAGGTTTGTACTGTGTATACCTGTTATATGCTAAAGTGCTATCATATTTTGGATATCCTTTTTTATGTCAAAAGAATATTTTGGGTGACAATCCAAAATTACTTTTTTGATTCCCTCTCAGAGAAAAGGTAAAAAAAAAAGTAAAGCAATCCACTGTAACAGGCCGTGAAGGCCCATAAGGTTGTGAGACATCAAGGCTCTCACATTTGATAGACAGTCAGCCTTACACACTGTTCACCCTTTACTTCCCCAGGAACATTCGTGGCCAATTGAGATTGCACACACACACACAGTAGTGTGATGCACAGTCAGTGAAGTTTAAGTCATTAATTTTGGAAACTGTAATGGCCTAGATCAGGCATGTCCAACGCATCGATCGCAGTCGGCTTTTGATCGCAGGACGATTTTTGGTCAGTCTCATAGAGCTATAAGAAAATTATATGTGAAAAGCATGTAAATTCACTTGCAATATAATATGATTATATTCAGATTTTGAAGGGAAAATATGTATTAGTCATTCCTATTTTTCTGTTCTTATGTGGCTTACGTGAAAATTGCTTTACATATGTGTTAAGTGAACTGTGGGGAAGTTCCTACTCTATCCTTACCACGCGAACTCTTATTTCACCACTCGTCAGCTGCGTGTGTTCTGTTGCAAGAGTGAACGACTGAACGTGTGATTCACTTTGTTCCCTCGCTCCAGTCAACTGTGAATCCCCGTACGTTGAACTAACAAGTGAGATGTGTTATTATATTAGCTGTTAGTGGAGATTTGTCGCTTTGCTGTGCATTAAGTAAATATAGAGTTTTGGGATGAGCTCAGTAAGTGCTCTGCCCATGTTGTTTTATTAATTTCAAAAGCATCTATGTGTGTGTGCCAGATGAAACAGTTACCTCAAAATAGTGGAAAATGCAACGCCTCAGTATCCTTGCCAAAAAAGGATAGTCTGGAACGTCATTATAATGCTCTCCGTAGCAATAAGTATGATGCTGATTTTCCACCCAAAAGTGCAGTTCATAAACTTAGCTGCTCAACAACAGTTGATGGAAAAATCAAGGTCACTTTCTAACAATGCAACCAAATCATCATTCAAGGTCAGCAATCTGATCGTTAAAATATGCAAACTTTCACTGAAGCGGAATTTGTAAAAGAGTGTTTTCTTGAAATAGCTGATAATCTTTTTGAAGGATTTAAAAATAAGAAAGAGATCATAGCTAATATTCAAGATCTTCAGTTATCAAGAAACACCATTGTGCGGTGAAGAGAAATGATGTGTGGAAACATAACTGAACAGTTGTTGAAAGATGTTTCCAATTGTGTTGCTTTCTCCTTCCAACTGGATGAAAATACAGACATCAGAGACACAGCACAGTTACTAGTTGCTTTTACAACAAACATCATGTGTCGTGCTATTTTTACCAATATTTTTGCTTAAAGTGAAGTACGACGATAGGAGGGGGTGGTAGATCACTGGCAGTTTTGACACCAAAAAGTTGATCACAACCTGTTTGAAGTTGGACATGCCTGCCCTAGATGAAAGCTGCTGATGATTTAGTGTGGCCTGCATGTCAGTTTTGCTCATATCTGAAATGAAGTTTTAGTAAAAACTTTTCATGAGACTCCTAAGATCTCTTTCTCTAGACTTTCCAGGCTCATGGGATGATCCTGTGTATGTCAAGTCCAAAGTTTGAAGAGTTGTTAATAACCAGTAAATCAGACAGTGCTGCTCGTATTACTGATATTGAACCCCGGATATTTCATATGATGCTTGAGTAAGTATGCCACACAACTGTGCTGTAACATTATTATACGAGGGTAATTCCAAAAGTAAGGTCACCTATGTTTGAAAATATAAAATAAACATTTATTTTCAATTTTGGATACATCAGTTGAATCTTGAACATGTACTCATTTCTCTACATAATCGCCATTTCGGTCGATGCATTTTTGTAGGCGCAGTGGCAGTTTTTGTATGCCCATGTCATACCAGTTCACCTCCATGCTGTTCAGGAAACTTCGAACCTCAGCTTTCACCTCATCGTCGTTGTTGAAGCGCTTTCCAGACAAATGTTCTTTCAACTTTGGAAAGAGATGGTAGTCACTGGGCGCCAAGTCCGGACTATAGGGTGGATGGGTGATGATCCTCCATCCAAACTGTTGCAGTTGAGCGACGGTTTGTCGGGCAGCATGGGGGCGAGCGTTATCGTGGAGAATGCTTACGCCCTTGCTCAACATCCCTCTTCTCCGGTTCTGAATCGCCCGCCTGAGTTTTCTCAGTGTCTCACAATATCTCTCAGCGTTTATTGTGGTCCCAGTTTCCATAAAGTCAACCAACAATACCCCGTTTCGATCCCAAAACACAGTTGCCATGACTTTACCGGCAGACTGTGTTTGCTTGAATTTTCGAGGCTTAGGCGAAGAGGAATGCCGCCACTGACGTGATTGTTGTTTTGTCTCAGGTGTGAAGTGGTACGCCCAGGTTTCGTCGCCTGTGACAATTGAATTCAAGAAGTTGTCCTTTTCGTCAGCATAGCGGCGAAGAAATTCACGGGAAGAGTCAACTCTCTGCCGTTTGTGGTCTTCCGTGAGCATTCGCGGGACCCATCTTGCGCACACCTTCCGATAATTCAACTTCTCTGTCAAAACCCGATAAATGGTGGTTCGGGAAACCTCGGGAACCGAAATGCAGAGATCATCGAGTGTGATGCGCCTATCCTGACGCATGACTCGCTCAATCTTCGCGACTGTCTCGTCAGAAATTGACGGTCTCCCAGTTCTTTTTTCGTCGTGTATTGCAGTACGACCAGATTCAAACTCCCTACACCACTTGCGGACGTTCTTTATGTCCATGCACGACTCGCCATACACTTCCACCAATTGACGATGAATTTCAATTGGTTTAGTCCCTTTTGCGTTCAAAAACCGAATAACTGCGCGAATCTCACACTTCGCGGTTTTAGTAATCGGGAGCTCCATTTCTAACGGCAACCGTGCCAAGACTGAGCGTCCTAGCTACGTGCGCGCATGCTTGGTGGTATTGGGGGGAGTGGGGGAAGCAACGAATGCAACAGGGTTGCCAACAGCCGCACGAAAAATTACCCAGCGCTTTGGAGACCTTACTTTTGGAATCAGCTACGTATATTCCATGCTGAAACATTGGAAAGGCAAATGGATAACACTTCTGGTTTTGTATGCAGGTAGTTTGAGTCAAATCTAAATCTGTAGGATGGTAGTACTGAGCTTTTTTTTCTCCTTCACTGCCTTTAGCTCCCTGCGTAAGCAAGCTTGCGCTTGTGAGACCAGCTTTCCGTTGGTCTGTCTGCAATGTACTCTTAAGTATATTGAGAGATTAAGAGGTTCTCATATTGGCATATGTCAAGATGCTGTCTTCTGGGATGTGACACTGTGTGGTTTGGTGGGTAGGTGAAAGCAAAGCAAAGTAAAGGTGTCCCTGTAACAGGCTGTGGGGGCCCATAGGGTTGTGAGATGTTGAGGTTCCCACATTTTCTAGACCATCGGCTCACAGACAGCAGCAAGGTTGTCAGCCCTACGTGCCGGCCGCCTTTTGCACCCAAGAATATTTCAAGAAGATTCCTGGTACTCATTTCTGTTAGAGGCTGTGTCGACCCCAGAGCCATAGTGTGGCTGGATGGATTAGGTAAATTGAAAAAATTCAGTGACCTCAGCGGGATTCGATCCCACAACTTTCCAGCTTGTAGCATAGTGCCTCAACCAACTACGCTACCTTGTGCCCTTGGTGGGTAGGTACTAATGTTTAAAAGGAACTTATGTACCACACTACATGGTATCACATTCCAGAAGACCATAATCTTGGTTTTCAGTAAGTTGTTTAAGGATACATGCATGAAGAAGATTTTACATTGTTCAAGTAAGGTAACCCCTCCCCCCATTTCCTGAAGATTTTATGAGACTTAAGAATCTGGGGATATCTGGATTGGTTAGCTGATTTTTCATATATGTTAGATTATATCAGTTGATGAGATTTATGTAGGAAGGAAGATATTCTTGTATGACTGATGAATTTGTATTGATGCAAGAGGAAACACATGGCTCTTGTGATTGAAGTTTTCGGTGCATGTTTTCAGATATAACTAGTAAATCATGCATAGTATATATTAAAATTTTCCTGAATGTAAAGTGACAGCACATCTGCATGCACTTAAAACAGTAAAACCTGTATTAAACAGAATCTCAAGGGTCCAGAACATTTTTCCAGTGAAGCCAGGTTTCCATTTAATCAAGGTATACTATAAATAATTAAACCAGAACATGCATGTATTTGAGACAAAATAAAACAGCATACTCATTCATTTATTCACACTGTAATTATTGAACACGTGCATACATTACACTGAATGGAACAAAATTGCAGTACTCACTTTTTATAATTTTACCAGAACTCAAGTTTTTTTGCACACACTCTTTTGGCTGCCTGACTTTCCAGAAATACTGTAGCTTGAGAAATTACACTCAGCATGTCTGAATCAGCAAATTCCTACAATTCATTTAAACTTTTGACAGCATCTTTGTAAGTCTTCACTCTACACTTTTCTTCTATCACAGTGTCATTTTCCTCTTCTTCCTTCATTAAAACTATCTGATGTCTTTTGCAAAAACTCTTCAACCATTTGTGTTGTGTTTTGTTGTGTTCCCATGGACAAATTTGAGTATTCTATATTTTTTGTATATACAGGGTGATTCATGTAGAACCGGCCCGACAAAATGAGCTGTAATATAAAATATACCATACATCATCATCATCAGTATTCTGACAAGACGATAGCTCCACAGTCTCCATCAAAACAATTCCTCCACTTAATGCGATCTCGAGCTTTCTCCTTCAAA